GTTTCTACTGTCAAAGGACAAAAACAATTCAAGCATTACTCTCTTGCACAAACTATTGGTATATTGAAGTCTCAGGAAGATAAAGTAATGAAGGACACAAAGTTGGTTACAAGTGTTGGTTCATTGGCTTTGGTAACTAAAAGTGAAAGTTCAAAGCAAAAGAAGACAAAGATTGTCGTTAAAGATTCTGAATCTGATATCTCAGATGAGGAACTTACAAAAGAAGACATAGCTCTGATGGTAACAAATCCAAAGAAATTCTTCAAAAATAAATTTTCTCGTTTCAGAAACAACAAAAATAAATTTGCTGGAAACAATCACAAGCAAGAAACTTCTAATTCGGAAAAATCCAGGAATGAAAGCTTCAAAAATTTTCAAAGAGATGATGAAAAGAAGGAGAAGAAGCTTCTTGGTGACTCAAGCTTTGACTGAAACTATTTTCATGCGAAGTATCATTTCGCAAAGGAATGGATGTTGCGAAAGCATAACGAGAAGAAAGAGAAAGATAAGGATGAAGCTTATTACATGAAGAAAATCGATGAACTTCGCAAGAATTCTAACAAACCAAGTTTGGTGGTGAATGAAGACAACAATGATGATGGTAATGTGGAAGTTTGGTCAACTGATTCGAGGGAATGAGAAGTTCACAGACCAACTCATGGAGATTGCTTGATGGTGAAGGATGAGAATAAGAGAGGAGGTAGATGTTTCATTGTCAAAAGCGTTAGTTTAGAAAATCAAGCCTACTTCATAAATGAGGGAACTGTCTCAGATGCATGTTTTTCTGTGAAGACGGTGAAGGAGCATGTCACATAGTGCAAAAAGGTAATTGACAAAGTACACTCAGTTCTTAAATCTCTTGACATTCCTATTTCTCGTTTTGATTCTGAATTAACTGATTTACATGACACTATTTCTGATCTTAGTGATAGTTTAAAGAGAACTCAAATAAGAAATTTTAATCTTTATGACACTCTTAGCAAGATTTCATCTAAGAGTGAAGAAATACGTATCAGAATAGAAGCCTTGGAATTAGATCTTGTTAGGTCCAAAGATGATGTAATAAATCTTAAGAATGTCAATATAAGTGTACTAAAACAGAGAAATATTTTTTGTCTCATTGTGAAACCTCTTTACACTAACATCACACAGTTACATCTTGACTGTGAAATAGGAAAAAGTTTGGGTAAAATGATTTTAGCTTTCTTAGAATTAAATGAAGACGAAATTGATGTTGAATGTTATAGGTGCGAATCGATGGTATCATCAAATGATTCTGTTGGTGATTCTTCCAAATTTGGACTTGAAAAAAATTGACGAATACATTAAGTCCAAAGAAAATAAAAAGATGTTGAATGATGTTTTAACTGAAAAGGACAACCAAAAAATCAAAATCAATTCAACTGAGAAATATAACTTGTTGTGCAAGAAATTGAATTCATATGAAAATATCAATTCTGAGAATATGTCTGAATTTGATTAAAGCGAGATGAGTGAAATATCAGTTGAAGTTGAAGTTGATTGTTCATCCTTTGCAAATAACAATCAGCAACCAAAAAGAAATTTGATTTTTGAAGATTCAATTGAGTTTGAACAATTTGTTCCAAATGATGGAATGATAATTTTAAAAGTTCAGGCAACTGTTTTTCCAAACATTTAGCAAACTCCAAATCAAGTTTTTATGAAAGAGGGACTAAGCTAAAAAAATCAAACTTCAGAATTAACGTTAATGGTCAACCTTGAAAATGCAAAAGATTATGAAGAATTCTTTTGGTCCAAACCAATCAATAACGATGCTGACACAAAAGGCTTGTCTCCATTGACTTCATGGAATGTCAAAGGGAAATATGTTTCAAAACAAGTGAATAATGTGAAATCATCACACAATGAAGTTGGACCAAGTGGAAAAAAAAAGTTCCAAGTTCCAACTGATATTCAAAAGGAGAATGAAATGAAAAGCAATTCCAAAAATGTGAAATTTAAAAAATCTGTTGAGGAACTAAAAGCAAAAACAAGAGCAATGAATGCAAGATATAAAAAGAAAACATAAATTGATAATAATGATTCTCATTGTAAAATCAAAAATCAAAAGTTTATTGGTGCGAAAAGATCTTCTAATCAAAATGTCAATTCATCCAATTTTTCAAAAAGTAAATCTAAGTCATTAACGAAAGCAAAGAATAATAAAAGGAAATATTTGAATAAACATGATGCTAATTTTGAAGCATACAAAGCAAAATTAAAATAAGACGAGGAAATGTTTTTTTCGAACATATGGCAAAACAAAGAAAATAAAATTCTAATCGAAAAACTTCTTTTATTGAAATAAATCTTTGTGATAAAAAAGACTCAAGTTTTTAAAATCAAAAAAGGGGTGAATAATACTTTGATCAAAAAATCATTTTGGATTGATAAAACAAAGTTTTTCCTTCTTTTTAATCTAAATCAAAGTTCTCATCAGGAGCCAAGATGAATTGGGTTCCTAAATCTGTTTAATTTTGTAGGTGATTCGCGACGAGCAGTTCGATTTCGAATGATGCATTGATAGTGGTTGTTCTCGTCATATGACTGGAAGTTTATCACAATTAAGAGAGTATCGTACTTCAAAAGATGGTAGAAGAGTGAAGTATGGGAATAATGCAATTGGATAAATCAAAGGATACAGAATGATAACAAATGGTGAATTCAGAATTCGTAAGGTAGCTTATGTAGAAGGCTTAAAACACAATCTAATTAATGTTTCACAACTTGGTTTAGGTACAGGCCATAAAGTTTGTATTGATGAAGAAGGTTCAAAAATCATAGATACAGAATCAAATAGAACAATTTTGAAGTCAAAAAAATAAAAGGGGAAATTTATCCATTTAACTTGAATAGTATTCAAGGGTAACATTCTATGTGTCTACTTACAAAAGCATGATCAGATGATAGTTGGTTGTGGCATAGGAGACTTTCGCATCTCAACTTCAAAGATATTAACAAACTCGTTCTCGGAGATTTACTCATAGGTCTACCTCTTCTCAAATATGATAAAGAACACTTGTGTGCTGATTGCGAACTAGGAAAGCAAATCAGAAAGAGTCATTCTTCGATCATGAATACCAAGATAATCGAACCACTTGAATTAATACATATAGATCTTTGTGGTCCATCTTCTATTGAAAGAATTGGCACTAGATAATACATTTTATTTATGGTTGATGATTTTTCTCGTTTCACTTGGGTATTCTTTCTTAAACAGAAATCAAAAACCACAAAGAAGATGATTGATTTTATCAAGCAAATTGAACTTCAATTTTGAAAGCCTGTTCGGAAGATATGAAGTGACAATGGAACATAATTCAAGAATCATATCGTTGATGAATTCTTAACTAACAAAGGATATAGTCACAACTTTTCTTCTCCGCACACTCCAGAGCAGAATGGTGTAGTTGAAAGATGAAATTGTTCCTTGTGTGAAGTTGTGATAACCATGTTATCTTTCGCAAAATTGTCGTTATATTTTTGGGTTGATGCAATCGCAACTACTTGCTCTACTCAAAATCGTTCATATATTAATAAACACTTTTCTATACTCCGTAGGGAATTTTGAATAATAGAAAGCCTAATGTAAAATTCTTTCATATTTTTGGTTCTAGGTGTTTCATCTTTAACTCCAATGAACATCACAACAAATTCAACACGAAAGAAGATGAAGAAATATTTTTGGGATATTCACTGAGCTCCAAAGCATATCATGTTTTGAATAAGAAGTCAAAGAAAATAGAAGAAACATATTATGTCACATTTGATGATAAATATGTGAAATCGGTTCCGAAAGAAACTCTCCAAATAGGAGAAATTTTTCCTCAATCTTGCAAGCGAACAACTTCTCTTTAAAACTTTATGAGGAATTTTTGAATTTGTTTGATGAACCTAAAAAGGAAATATCTTCTGAGAACAAAGCAACTGATAATCATGATGATGAGTTATTAAAACTGATTGATGAAACATTCCAAAATGTTCAAACTTCAGAAGAAAATGTTGATTTTGCTACTTGTCCTGTTGAGGGGGAGAGTATAGAACATTTAAATTCTCCAATAATTGAAAATATTAAACAATCGACTGAAAGAAATATTAATGATTTTGTGCAGGGCAGAGTTCAAATGCAAATTTTCAAGGTGAGAGTTTATTTCCAAATTTCACAAATCGAATCTAATGCTCAATTAGAAGTTGAGGAAATAAATGTTGAGTTAAATCCTGATTATGATCTAAACTATCCACCTTTGAGGAAATGGACTCGAGATCATCCACGAACTCAAGTTCTTGGTGATAATTTTTCAGGGGGTTTGACTCGTTCGCAACAGAAAGAGAAACAAGCATCTTTGAATGCTAATCAAGAATTTTGCATGTTTAATTCTTTTGTATCTAAAATCGAACCTAAAACTATTAAAATGGCTTTTGATCATGCAGATTGGGTAAACGCTATGCAAGACGAGCTGAATGAATTTGAGCGCAACAAGGTTTGGAGATTAATTCCAACTCTAGAAAATGCATCAGTTGTTGGTTTGAAGTGGGTATTTCGCAGAAAAATGTACAAAGAAGGAAATGTTGTTCAGAATAAAGCATGGCTTGTAGTAAACGGATATTGTCAAGAGAAAGAAATAGATTACGAAGAAACATTTGCTCCTGTAGAAAGACTTGATTCCGTTCACATCTTTTTTGCTTATGATGCTCACAAAAATTTTGAAGTATTTCAAATGGATGTCAAGTGTGCATTTCTCAACGGCAAACTAGAAGAAACCGTTTATGTTGAAAAACCTACATGTTTTCTAAATGAGAAATTTCCTGATCATTGTTATGTGCTAGATAAAGCAGTATATGGTTTGAAGCAAACTCCACACACATCGTATGAAACTCTGACTAAATTCTTAAAACAAACAAAATTTAAACAATGTTCAGTTGATCATACCTTCTTTCGTATTAGAAGTTGAGGAAATAGTCATTATCAAATTGGTCCAATGGAAAAGAATAATGATAAAATTCATTTGGAGAAGAGAACTTTGGAAGAAAAACTGAAGGATTTGAAAGAAAAGAAGAGTGGCCAAAAGGGTAATGTAGCTTTTGGTTCAGGAAAAGGAAATGTGAATATTGTGTCTGAAAAGGAAGATGAATTGAATACAAAATTGACAAAGGAACAAAAAGCTGAACAAGCGAAACGTGATGGATTGTTGCATGAGCTCAATTCTATTAATGCGAAGATTAATGCTTAGGAAGCTGAAAAGAAAAATGTTGAAGCATTCTTGCGAACAAGAAAGCGATGTTTCCTCCTTGGTCACATTAAAAAATAGAAGATGAAGCAATCAACAATCCGAATCTTTGTTGGTTGGAGCCTCAAACCTCATTCTCTGTTGAAAATGATTTGGCATGTCAAATGGACTTGCCCATCACTGCAAAAGCCTTCCAGTTTTGTTGTTTTGAAAACATATAGAAGGTGCCTATTGGGAACACAAAAATCAACAAAAAAATTGTTCAATTTCTACGTGAAGCATTCTAAACCACATTAAAAATCTTGAATTGTTAAAAATATTGTTGGTATGAAGGTTGGTAAATCTAAAGGGGTTGATGGTTTTACAAACACTCACTTCAAAGTTGTTCGTGGTCACAATCATGAAGGTCATGAGTTCTCTCCGGCTGATCTTCTAATGATGAATCTGTTTGATTGAATCTTAATTCTCGAACTCATTTCAAACGAACCTGTCAAGTATGAACCTATTTGTTCGCAGATGAAGAGATTGATTAAGGCCTATATCATTGAAATATTGAAGATGGATGTAGAGATTTCATCTGTTTCAAACAAGAAGCCTATCATAAAACCTATGGATCCTCCTAAAAATCTTGATTCTATGAAGGCTGGGTTTATTGAAAACATATATTGAGGAGTGGTGTTCAAAGTGAAAGAAAATGAAGTTCCAAAGAAGTGTATGTTTTATTTGAGAGATAAGCACTTGTATTCGTCTGTGCCTTTTAACCAAATTTTGGTAAATGCTGAAATGGTCAAGGGTAATTCTTCTGATCATGTGAGATGCATTTCTGATATGATCAAGTGGTGGATCGGTGTTCGCTTTATTTTGTTGAAGACGATGCCGAGGGTGTTTGATGTTGGGAAGAAACCGGAAGTAAAGACAACTTTTGTAAATAGACGAAAAGGGGCAGATTGTAGAGTTCGTAGTTTGTGTTGTGTCAAATTGTAATAGGTATGTTCGCATTTTGATAATTTCTTTACTTAGTGTGAGTTATGTTACGATCTCGCACTTTTTGTTACCTTACGTTTGCAGCTTAGCTGTTGACTTGAGATGCTTTTCTAATATTCTTGTGAAGCCTAAATATAGGGATATTGGTTAGAAGAATGGGTAAGAGTTTTGCACATAGAATAGTTCTTTATGTTGTATCGAATATTTAGTCTTTACTCGTTAATGAAATAGAAATCTTATTTTCATCGTGTGTTTTTGTGAATCTTATCTTTGTTTGAATCATGAATCCAAATGATCCTTCAATATCGTATCTTTGAAAGAAAATGGGGCTTTCTCCGCCGACACCATCTTTAAGTCTTTTAATGTTAAGGTCAAACCAAATTTTGTCTCTCCCACGTATGTCTGGTTCTCCGAGTATCCTTTCTCCTTGGGCATGACATACCTTTTTTATAGCATCATCTCATAGATCTTCAAAGTCACTAAAATCTACTACATTCAGACCATGCGTGGGATCTGGAGGATGCTTTTCTGGATTGATCGGCTGAATCAGTCCATGGATCTCAATATTGTTCTATCTGAGGTAGCTTAAGTCTGTGATCTCTCTACCTTTGGGTCTTCTCGCTTCTTTTTAAAGTCAAGCCCAATAGAACACATCTTTTTTTGAAAACCAAACATCATGATGGTTCCTAGAAAGAAGAGTTTTTCTTTGTGAGACGAGATTCCATCCCCAACGACGATCTCATACCTATGAAATGGGTCAAAAAGGTTAGGATTTGATTTATTAGGAATTTGAAATTCACAATCCTCTTATTTTGTGTATTTTTTTGCAGCCATCAAGCTCAAAGAACTTTCCCTCGCCAACGAGGAAACAAAAGAGAATATCGAGAATCTCCTTGCCTTGACTGAAATCAGGATAACCTTCAAATGTGAACCATCCAGTTTCCAAGAGAGCACATCTACCACCTTCCCGATGTCTACTTGTAAGAATCCTCAATTTATCTATTTTATTGTTAGGATCTTGAACTTATCAGGATTCTCTGTGATTCTTAAGACTAAGGACCACTCGTTCTGGTGCAAGCTTCGCCCTCTCCGTCCTTGAGGAGGCTATGTCAGGAAGTCAGCTTGTGATTAAGAAGGAAAAGCCTTCTTCTTCCCATCCTTCAAAGAGGGTTGTGATTGACTTTTCCGTGAAGACCCCTGGATCTAATAAGAGGTAACCTTCCGAGGTCTCGGACTTTAGTTTGGAGAGTCTAGGTGTTGAGGAAGCCATGATAAAGCTAATATCCTTCTCGCAAGCTGTAAGTACTTATAAGTCCTCTTTTTCTTTTATGCTTAATTTTTTCTGTTTACTGAATGTATTCTTTCTCTGGTTGTGGATCATGTTTCTCGGTCCACTAAGGCTTTGAAGAACAGGGCTGAAGAGGCTGAGCGTGTCATGATGGAACAAGAGAACATTTAGAAGGAGACCAATGAGGATCTTATGATGAGGGTGGAGCGGCTGAGCAAGGAGAATGCAAAGAAAGCGGATGAGCACACCTTGGAGATCGTGGAAATGATCACAGAGGTGAAGAGAAGTGTCGTAGAAGCCGACTGGGAGGCGGAGATCAAGCTAGCAAAGGATATGGAGAATACAGGATCCTGGAACGTGGCAGGTTGGCATGAAGCCCTAGCCAACTTAACTGGGAAGCACGTTGATGTTAGTCAGGATCCTGTAGGGCAGGTGAAGGAGGGAAAGAAGAAGGAGACAGAGGTGGCTCCTAGTAACAATGGTCAAACTGTGAATTGGGTTTGATAGGTTTTTAAAAAAAAGTTGGTGTATAAAAAGATTTTCTTTTTCTTTTTGTTGGGTTAGTGGGCGACCCTTTTTATTTTAATGCTTTGTTTCTACTATCTATTTGTGTGGTTAATCTGGTTGTAGAAATTGGTGTTGGATTAGATGTCTAAGCCCACAACTATTATTGGTATGTACTTGACCCGAGAGTAGATGGTCCATTTGGGTTGCATATCATCAGGACAATTTTTTAGGATGGATTCTTGAGAGAAGGTTATATATGATTCGTTATAATATATTAATATGAAAACATATGTTTTAATTAGTATTGATCAAGAATTAATTTTGTGATCAAAAGAGACTAATTAAATCTATGGGGACTAATTATGGTAATTAGTTATATTTATATGTGTTGGGCTTATGATCCATGTTGGACCAAGTTTATGTATGGAGACATAAAGAGTTGGGCCACATGAACCATGGATCATAAGCCCATAGGTATGGATTTGGGTTATACCCATGACCCTTGGAATCCACTATATAAATAGGTTGCTTCATGACCAAAAACGTGGACTTCTAGTTCTTAGAGAAACATGGAGGTTTTTGGGTGCATGAAATTCTCTCTCAAGTTCCACCTTTGTTCATGATGTGTTGTGACTTCATTTGAGGCATCCACACTATTGAAGCTAAGCTCTTAAGGCCAAATACATCAAGACTTCAAGCTACACAAGGACGACAAAAAGATCGGGAGTCTTCCTTGGAAGATCTCCAAAGGATGCATGTTACCCTAACTAGTATCTTGTATGGTATCTGACAATTTCATGCTAGTTATAGGCTTAATACCTTGGAAACATCATTGCATGTATAATTAGTGAAAACATAGATCCAAGGTATTTAGGGTTGTATGTGCACCATAGGATGTTGTAGTATGCAAAATCCAACAGGAGTTGCGGAGGTCGGAGGGTATTTCATAGCCGTCTATTACTGTTACTAAATATTTATTTATGCATGGATGAGGAGTTATTTACAAATCAGACCACATTCACATGTAGAAACGTCTATTCTAATCACAACTTCCCCGGTTTTTTTCTTATTAGGACATTGTAGTTTGAAAATCCAATTATATCCTCACGTGTTGTTGTTTGAATGGTTAGCATTGGTTTGAATATACGAAAGTCTTTTTATATCATCAGGAGATTAAAAACCAAAAAAGTCGAACTACATTGCCTTTCGATGCTAAAAATGACATTAAAGCATTGAAGTGGTATGGTGCAAAAATAACAACTGAATCCCCAACATCACACAATGCGAGAAAAATATTTTCACAAATACCGGTAACAAATAATGTATTTTAATTTTTAAAATAAAATAAAATCATTACAATCTGAGAATATTATCAAACATGCTTAGATGGCCAGTTATAGATCATTGACATCATCTCTCCCTTATCTTTTGTATACAAATTAAAGTCATAAGATGCTAGACAACTAACACAAAAGAAAACAAAACCATAATTTGCATTTACAAAATTCAAGTTCAAAGAGAAAAGTAATCTAATCTATGATTGCCGATGTAGATAATAATACAATGTAACCAAACTACACATTGACAAACACACGCCATAAAGGCAAATTTGTAAATGAAAATAAAAAGAAAACAATAATATATAAAGGTTATCAAATTAAGTCATGTCCGCATTAAACTAACCTGTCTTCAAGGGAGAAGTCTAGCCGACCATGGTTCAATTTCCTTGACACTAACATCAAATTAAAACAGCGTTGGGTTTATTCCCGCCATTATTTCTCTTCCAAATTCTTGGTTTGTCTTCCACTTAGACTCATCCCCTGTTGAAATCATTAAACCAAATAATAATGTCAATTTGGGCAAAAAGACAAAAATGCCCTCGTCCTTGTAAAAAAAATAACCCTACAAAGTACCATGGATTATTTATAGGAAAGGGAAACAATTTTGAAATTTGAGCTGCTGTAGATTACAACAATTCACAGGTTGAGCTCCTTCCATATGATTGCCTGAAAACGTCGTCCAAACACTTTAAAAACCCTAGGAGATGAAATGAGTCAATGAAACGGAAAAGCAAGCATCTTTTAAACAAACAGATGAAAAAAAATCCTTCTTCAGCAACATACCATGGGGACAAAACCTGTATCCCATGCAATTGGTCAATCCTAAAAGTTGTTAGTAGAAAATAAATTAGTTTTAAAAGGATAAAAAAAGAACATGATTTAAAATAACAGAATAAAAATGGAATTAGAGTTTGTTTAGTTGGATGGAATCAAATAAGCAATGTTGTTTTGGTAGAAATGGAATAAACTTATTTAATATATATATATATATAATATATATATATATATATATATATATTTATATATTATATGTAAAGACAATACATCTTTTTTACTATATTCCATTAAATTATTTTAGTTATTAACTAACTTATATTTAAAAAGAAATTAAAAGCTAAAGATAATAGAAGCTTACTGAATCGATATAAGGTATAATAGAAATTAGAGTAAACTACAAATTTGGTACCTATACTACACTTAAAATTGCAAGTTCAGTCCAAATTTAATGATGACATCGACACAATTTTAAAATTTGGAATAAACTTGCAAATTTTATTTAAACATAAGGACCAAATTTGTAATTTACTCTAAAATTCATATCAGTAATTAATTAAAATAATAAAAAAAAAAATTCTAAGGATATGTGTCAAAGAAATTTACATTATAAAAATAGGTTACATTGCATTTTTTCCTTCCATTTCATGATGGAATGAAAAAAAAAACACCTTCAACTTAAGAAATGAGAATTAATACACTGGAAGGAAGGAATGAAGCATTCTTTTCGATTGGGATTAACAAACAGGTTTGTATGATTCCAATGGAATGAACAATTCCATTCTATCATTCCATCAATATCAGACACTATCTTAATATCAGACACGATCTTATATATAGATTCAAGATAAAGAGTACATAACACATGCAGCAAATCCATATGGTATGACTTTGGATCATTAGAGAACAATGAAACTTCCTTCATAGCACCCATTTCGCTACAACAGCAACATAAGTGATGAGAGCAAATAAGAAAATAAACTAAAAAGATAATGAGATTAAATTAAAAAAAAAAAAAGAGTAATCATAGTTCATACCTATTAAAACTAACATAAACATGACCAGCTGAGGCTCTACACAGAACATTTCCTTTTTTCCATCTTGACCCCGATGTAAGTTAAATTATCAGGCCTCCCTAAACTTCTTGGAAGAGAAGGTGAAGTGGCTGCTGAATTTGATTGAGAGAAAGGTAAAGAATTAGAAATTGTAAGATCAAAATAATCTTAATTTAGACCATTTAAAAAAAAATGACTATGAAAATCGAGACATTTCAATCTGAAATCCAAAAGTCACAAGTGAGCCCCTTTAATAATACGTAGAAAGCAGACATGGGGAAATACACAATTGCAAAACTCACCAGTTTTAAGAGCCTCTTTCTTTGTATACAAAATTTCATAGACAAACTATTAGTATTCAGTTTAATCAAACCATAAACTTCTTGAAATTGGCAACAGATGTTGATCATCCAATGATGTTGGCTTTCGAGATTTCTTAAAACTGTAGACTTGATTTTATCAGAAACAATCCCTACACATTGTTGCAAATTGTTGCCACAAATTTCACTAATTGTTTCCATTAAAACATCTTCAGCATATTTTGGGAAAACGTAACCACCTGTGAAAACAGCTCGTCTAAAAACACTAGTCCCATTTGGCAAATTAACAGATAAATTCACCAGATTTGCGAATTCACCTGGATGATGATTATTACTATTTGATTTCCACCCATCTGATGAGATTTGGAAGAACATGGCGTCGCGAATTCGAGCTTCGGATTCTCGTTTTGCCTCTTTGTACTTGGAATCGAGTCGTTCTCCGGCGAAGTCACTCCGGGTCACCGCTGGTAATCCGATTTGGTTCAAGAAACTATTGAATTTTGGGTGCTCCAAACTTGAAAATGGAACAGACCCACAATTTTCATACACCCAATCTGCTAATAATTCGAGAGATGAATCGATTTGGGATTTTGTTAAAGTTTGATATGGTAATGATTTCGGGATCTTAAGCCTTTTCACACTATCTTCGAACATACAGAAAAATAACAGTATCGATGGCGGAGGCTGTGGCGAAGCTAGTGTCGCTGGAGATGGGTATGGCAAAAATGAAAGAAGAAATCAGAGAGAATGATGAAAGAGAGAGGGAGGGGTGGAATTGAAATGAGAGAGAAGGTAAGAGATGAAAATAATCAACGGAGAGGCGGTGATGGATGGATCATCTGTTGTCCGTGTCTGATTGGAAGAATGAGGAGGTGCAAGCAGGCAAGAACACGTAGACGTAGATGGTAGACACCCGGTCATTACATCTGTAATCCTACACAAAAAACCCACCAAAAAAAAAATAAAAATCAACCAATCATATTGAAGTCCTGTTCACCAAAGACTTGTAAATTAGTATGTATATAAATTAATAATCATTTGTTGTGTAATTGCTCTGAATAACATTTACATGCATGATTTTGTTTATTAAATATTAGTAACTTTAAAAATGTTATTTAAATGGTAATACATAATATTTGAAGAAGATTTGAATGAACTTATTGGGAATATGGATGAACAGAAGCTTGCAGTTGAAGTTGAGAAGAACTTTGCAGTATGGTTTTAATATTATGTGGGTGTTAATTTTATATTTTTTTAATTTTATTATTTTTTGTTACGGTTATAATTAACTCTAATTAAGAGCTTTACCATTTGTCATATAGGCACGTACGATCCGAATAAACAACAAGTATATATCTGACATTTCCAAAATGCCATTCAAAAGAGTGAAATTATATAGTATATATACTTTGTCAATGGTTACAAGTTTCACACAGAAGCTCATGGTCTGAACAAATCACAATCAACAGCAGATTGTATGTTAGTAGCCAAGGAGGTGATGATTACGGTAAGGTAGAGGAAATTTTATAAGTCGAGTACCCTGGTTACCCAATTAAAACCACAGTTTTGTTTAAATGACATTGGTACGATCCATCACCTAACATAGGAGTTAAGGTTCACAAACAATATAACTTGGTCGAGATTAACGTCAAAAGAAAATACAACAAGTTCGAGCCGATTGTTTTACCCATGCAAGCCACTTAGGTGTGTTAGATTCCTTACCCAACTTTGAAAACAAACAACTCGGACTGGTGGACTGTATTTAAAGTTAAACTCGTGGCCGGACTGATGTACGTGAAAATCATCCTCAGAAAGACGTTGCTTCCAAGAAGATGAAGTCGAATCAAATGAAATCATTATACCAACTACAACCGATACAGCCACTTATGATGATCACGACATGTCAAGCAGCGATTCAGATAATGAAAATAACATTAATAAACAAGGTGAAATTCATGAGGACGACAATGATGGTATTCCTAACAGTGAGGGTAGTTATTGTTGAATGTGAAGCCACAATTGTTGAACGTGAAGCCACAATTGTTGAATGTGAAGTTTTTTCAAAGGTTGGCTGAAGACCCGGTTGTGTTTTTTGACTACTTCTGATTTCCATCTCTATATAAGAGATTCATCTGTATTTGTAAAACTTGTATCTAGAGTAACACAGAAAGAGTGCAGATTAGCACCAAAAAATATAAATTCCTAGTTACCGGTGGACATAGGTCAGAGAAGGACCGAACCACGTTAAATCCCTCGTGTTCATCCTTGTGTTCTTGTTTTTCGTGAGTTGTGTGTGTGTTTAGAGTCGTGTGTTAAGTGTCTCGATCCTAACAGTTATGAGTATAGTACATCGAGCAATGAAGAACAAGAGGACGAAGAAGAAGAGGAGGAAGAAGATATTGACTAGATGTTTTTGTTTCTTTATAGAAGGATGGTCACATTGTCTAATTTTTAGTTTTTGCATATGAATTGGTAAATGTGATGTTATGTATTAGTGCCCATCATGAGAAATAAATAAAATGAAATTTTATCATTCTTTGGTACATTGAAAGGATTTACTAAAAAGGGACATGTGTTTTTGAGATATTTGTATGAACAATATTTTCATTAAATATCCAATTAAGTAATCGTTTATATTGTCACACCCCCATAACCGGAACGGCGGAAAACGTTTTGGGGTGGAGGACGTCATGTTTAGTATCACAACCATTGTATAATAGCAATCATAGTAACACAACAATTACAGTAAATACATATATGAAAATGTTTACATCAGTTGAAACTTGTTTGAATACATAAAAAACGTATGTAAAATATAAAGACACAATTCTTATTGCTCCAACTTCTCAAAAATCCCGGAGGTACCTGTCTAATGATTTCTTGAGAATACAACCAGTTTTGAAAGAATATCAGCATAAAGCTGGTGAGTTCATAAGCGATATTTTGTAATGAAAACTTGTTGATGACTTTATAAAAATGTCTGCATGTTTCAACAAAAAATCCAATATTTTCTTTAGTGATAGTCATGTTATCAGTTCTGTGTAAAACTATGAATATTCGTTATTGAAAACTGTTGTGGCATGTGAAAACTCTAGTTTGTATGGCTAGCCAAAGCTAATCATAATATGTATGTATTCTGTATGGAAATCATTGTATAATCGGTTTCGTTTGAAAACCTTGGCTATCGCCAGTATGTGTAGTATGTTTTATTACTTTAATAAAACCATGTAATGAAATCCCTGGGATCCTCCAGTTGTGGTGTGTAGTAGTTCTATTAGTGAAAATAAAACTATTGATGAATGAAAACCCGTACACCAAAGTAGTTTGTACATATAGTGAGTCGTATAACCATGCTTGATATGACCTAGAGACCTTTTCAACGTTCTTCAGGCGTTGGTTAAATGACATTTGCCACCCCAGGCATGCCTGCCTAACTGTAGCTAGCAGTTCAGGTGTGGGATCGTCAATCCCGAATAGATCTATTCACAAATCTCACGCTCTCCTTCCAGGAGACTCTGGTTATACTATGATAGGATTTAGCCCTGTACACCTAAGGGTACAGTTTTGAAGTAGTGCCTCACAATGTTGTACAATTTAGTTTACATGTAATTCTGTAGTGTTATACTGTAGTGAAATCCGTATGTATACTGTATGTAGTGATAATTATACTTAAATAATTATGAAATGTCATGCTCATGTAGTGATGTATACCATAAACTAAATCTGCCATAGTTTATATGCTTAGCAGTGGAAAAAATCTCTGGACTTGTTAAAGTTACGTTTTGAAAATCGCAAACTATACCTATTATAGTTTGTGTGTATGAATATGTATGAACTTGTATGAATTCCCAAACTATACCTATTATAGTTTGCATGTATACTGTAGTTGATGTGAATATTGAATCTGAAAAACTATGCAATTTTGGTTGTAAGTTGAAAGCGTCCCTTATGCTCAACATGGTACTAAAGGGATAAGATATGAGAATTGCATGAGTTTTATGCTTGTTAAAAACCCTTTTTGTATTAGTTCACAAAAGCATTTATGTTTGGTTTGTATTCCCCTGAAAACGTTTTAAAAACCAGTAAAAGCGTAGGGGTATAAACTCATTGTTGTTGTGTGAAAGAGTCGACTGAAAAGAAGATCCTCGGGTTGTTGTACGTGGCACTTAACGGAATCCTAATATCAAATAAATACATATAAGTATCTAAATTAGCGATTTCGTTAGATATAGTGTTAGAAGAACACTTGTGCTCTGTTAAAGGATGTTACTGGGACTTGATTGAATCGAGGGATCGAGTTTTTCACCACTTAGGAGACGTGTACGGCCGTGAACAAGGGTTTACGGCTGTGAAGGATGGTTTACGGTTGACAGACAGTTTACGGCCTTTGAAGACTCGATGAGTTTACGGTCGTAAACTCAAGAACATGGTTTACGACCTTCGAAGATGGGTCGTAAACTCAAGAACAAAGGTACTAATTTAGAAGAGTAACGTGTTCCAGACGTCCTGAAATGACTCTAAATGGTGTTTCTCGATGTTATCCCGAAGATTGAAGGTGTTTTTAGTGTTTACGGCCAAGGGTTCTAGAGAGAGAATGAGAGAATTTCCGGTCAGAAGTGTTCAAATGAGGGTGGGAGTCTCATATTTATAGGGGTTTTGTGGTCGGTGAGTGGGGGTCCACCTGACGCTGGCTGTAAACGGGTGTACGGCCGTAAACGAGTTTACGGCCGTAAACGAGTTTATGGCCGGAAATTGCTTGATTTTCAAGGAAACTTCGGGTCTTTCGCGCGATTTTGGTTCTGATTCGCATATATATATAAATTTAATTATATAAGACTAGATGATTTTCTAAACCAAGAAGTTTGACGGAAAAATTAATAAAATTCAAATTTTATTAACGGAAACCGCATAACGGAACGGAAAAAGTTTCGGGTTGTCACATCATCCCCCCGTTAGAGGGAATTTCGTCCCGAAATTCAGGCATAGAATACAAATCATGGACTCGGGAAAAGATGAGGGTACTTCTGTTTCATTGAATGTTCGCGCTCCCAAGTGAATTCATGTCCCCGCTTGGCATTCCAGCGAACCTTCACTATCGGGATGCGACTTTGCTTCGTTCGCTTGACTTCCCGATCCATGATTTCTACAGGTTCTCCCACGAAGTGTAAGCTCTTCTCTAGTTCGATTTCATGGAGGGGTAGCACAAGTGTCTCATCGGACAAACACTTCTTTAAGTTCGACACGTGAAAGACGGGATGTACGTTGCTAAGTTCTCGCGGTAGACGAAGTTTGTATGCTACGGGACCGATCCTTGCGAGGATCTCGAATGGTCCTATGTATCTTGGATTCAGCTTTCCATGCTTTACGAAGCGTATCATGCCTTTCCAGGGTGAGACCTTCAACAGAACACGGTCACCAACTTGGAACTCCAACAGTTTTCGTCTCTTATCGGCGTAACTCTTTTGTCTATCTCTTGACGCTTTTATTTGTTCCCGGATTTGTACGATCTTTTCAGTCGTCTCTCGGATAATTTCAGGACCCGTGAGAGTGCTGTCGGGTACTTGACCCTCGACTAGCTGTGTGTCACCCACTTCAGCCCAACACAGAGGGGATCTGCACTTACGGCGATAAAGGGCTTCAAACGACCCATCCTT